CCCCGCCGAGCACTGAGCCCCTGGGTGAGGATGACACCGGAGGAGGAAGGCTCCTGGGCAGGGCCTCCAGAGAGGGTGTGTATCCGGGTGGAGGAGCAGTCATTCTGGGTGGAGAAGACCTTGCTGGTGGAGAGCAGCGAGTACTTCCGTGCCCTCTTCCGCTCGGGCATGAAGGAGAGCACGCAGGAGGAGATTGGGCTGGGGGAGCTGAGCGCGGCCGGGTTCCTCGCCATGCTGCGAGTGCTGGCGGGTGAGAGGCCCATCCTCGGCAGCGAGGAGACCTTCCAGGCAGTTGAGTGTGCCGCCTTCCTGCAGGTGAAGCCCTTGGCCAAGTACCTGATCCACTCCATCAACTCTGACAACTGCATCCTGCTGTACCAAGCTGCCGCCATATTCGGTCTCCTGGACCTTTTCCACTGCGCCGCGCTCTACATCAGGGACAGCTACGCCGAGCTGGTGGAGTACTTGGACTGCCTCTCTGACGACCTGCTGGCCTACGTGGAGACCCTCCTGCCCAGCACCTTTGTGGCAGTAGGAGCCCACACGCCCACCTTTGAGTTCCTGGAGGACCTCTCCAGGACCATCTGCTACCTGGACGAGGAGACCAACACGTGGAGGACCCTCTCCTGCCTGCCACTGAGCGCCAGCACGTTCCTAGCTGGCATGGCAACCATGGATAATAAGATCTACATCGTGGGCGGCGTCTACGGGGCCAGCAAGCAGGTGGTGGAGAGCAGCTTCTGCTATGATGCCGATGCCAACGCCTGGAGCGAGTTCCCCAGCCCTCATCAGCTGCGCTATGACGTCAGGCTGGTGGGCCACGAGGGCTACCTCTATGCCATCGGTGGGGAGTATGAGAAGATCTCCCTGAAGTCCGTGGAAAGGTACGACGTGGCCTCCAGCACCTGGACATTTGTCTCCGACCTGCCACAGCCGAGCGCGGCAGCACCCTGTGCCCAAGCCATGGGGCAGATCTTCGTTTGCTTGTGGAAGCCACTGGACACTACCGTCATCTATGAGTATGAGACCCAGCAAGATGCATGGCTTCCTGTCACCGAGCTCAAGCGGCACCAGAGCTACGGGCACTGCATGGTGGCCCACCGCGACAACCTCTACGTCATGCGCAACGGCCCCTCAGATGACTTCTTGCGTTGCGTCATTGACTGCTTCAACCTGACGTCGCGGCAGTGGACCGCCCTGCCCGGGCAGTTCCTGAATAGCAAAGGAGCTCTCTTCACTGCCGTCATCAGGGGTGACACCATCTACACCGTCAACAAGATGCTGACGCTCCTCTACTCCGTGGAAGAGGAGACCTGGAAGTTCAAGAAGGAGCGGGCAGGCTTCCCACGCAGTGGCTCCCTGCAGACCTTCCTCCTGCGGCTGCCGAGGCGCGACCACAATGTTGCGACATAGGTGGCCCCCTGTCCCACGTTGGGATGCTCTCCTTGCACGTGGCCTTGGCTCTGCACCCGCCACCGCCCCGGGCTCCTCTCCTCCTCCGCGGAGTCGTGCTCAGGTCCAGGGACGCATCACGTTGGACCTTGGAGGTGACACTAGACCCTGCCGGAGGGAAAGGGGCTGCAGGCAGCTGCTGCCTGCCTCTGCCTGCACTGCATGGGCTGTGTGCAAAGTCCTACCAGATGTGGGCTCACGAGCCAACTGTGTGCAGGGCTTCGTGGCTTGTGCAGAGGACAGATACCAAAGAGATGCAAACACGGGTTTTATTTATTTTGACCGCACTCTGGAGGCGTGCAGCATCCCACCTCCCCTCTGCTCCGATGGGAAATCATTTGTTATATCCTGGAATTAAAAGGACAGCTATAAAAACCCCTGTGTTTTTCATTACTCTTGGGGTTTGTTTTTTTTCCCCCCCTCTTCTGAAGGAGAATACCTCCTAACAGGGATCCATGTCAAGGCTCGCTCCTGCCCGCTGAATGCTTTTTCAGCTGCAGCTCTGTTTCAGAGCCGTATGTGGGAGCATGGTTCCCACACAGCCCCGCGCTCCCCGGGGAGGTTTCCACGGCCACTCCCAGCTGCAGCGGGGTCCTGGGAGGAGGAGGGGAGAGGGGAGATGGGGGGGTGAAGGAAAGCATCTCCTGGGCATCGGGGGCTTAATGCACTGAGGGGTTTCTGGGACCTGGGAACCACCCATCACCCCACCAAGTGTGTTAGCCAGCTATCGTCTCCTCCAGGCTCCTCTGCCAAGCCCCAGCACAGACTCAACGGGGTGGCAAGTGCTGGCACTCATCGGAGGCTCATTTGAGCCAAGACAGGGTCTTTTTAGGACATGGCAAACCTTGGAAATACAAAAGGGTGCAAAAAGGGAAGGAGAGGAGAGGAGTGGAGAGGAGAGGAGAGGAGAGGAGAGGAGAGAGTATCACCATTGCATGGCGATGCCAGGCTTGCAGAGGTCTTCTCCATTAGCAGAGCTCCGTAACCAGGTGAGCTGTTCTCATGAGATACCATCCCCTACTATCAAAGGTTGTTAGCCCTCAACACCAGCTCTGGGGACAGCTGGAGAACATAGAGCTCCCCTTTGCGACCGCAGTGCTGCTGGGAGACCTGCGGGGACCAGGGCAGCAGCAAACCCAGACCATGGCTCAGCTGGTTTTCCGTCCGTGGGGCAGGCTTTGGGCTGCCCGTGCCGTCCTGGCCGAAACGGAGTGGAAGGGAATACCAGCTGGGATGCCTCAAATACCTCCGCTGCTGACCCTCGCCAAGTTCTCAGCATTTTCAAAACAGTTCCCGCATTTGAGAAAAAACCCACACAACCACAGAAACACAAGAAAACCCCAGCTCGCATCCATGTCCAGATTGAAAACCACTCGATGCCCCTCGTCCCCTTTTGCCCTCTGCCACTGGGCCAGGCCACCACCCCGCTGTCACCCCCGGGATGGGGACCGCAGTCGGTGGAGGTGTGGGTCTGATGGTGGCACGGGGGAGGCAGGGGACACTGGTGGACCTCACCCAGCTCTACACCACGCTGCAGCATTAGCTGAGCGGCGTTACTATCCTCGGGGGGACCATTAGCAGAAAGCCCATCAAGCCAAACCCTTGTTCCCTTCCTAGACGAAGCCAATTAACATTTCACACTGTCTTCCCCTAACTGAAAGCAGCACATGGAAGCACGCTGCTTTAAAACTGTTTTAAGTTGAACAAACAGCTTAAACCCTCCATTAAAATAAAGTTAAAATAATTCTGTTACTAAAATATTTATGACGGGCTCCTGTGGCTAACCCGGGACAGCTGAACTTGGCAGGCTCTCCCCTTCCCTCCAGCTCTGAAACCACCAAGTGATACAACATCTCCCCCCACCTTTACATGCTGGTTTTTCAACGGTTCAGGGGTTTACAAAGATATTTGCAAACAAAATGCAAAAGGTTTTAAGATTTTAAGTGTTGTGTTAAGTGTAGCACGAGTGAAAGCGTAGGTCTTGGCAGGCACTGTTGAGTATGGCATGGATGGTCCCAAGAGAGGAGTAATTTGTTGCATCCATCAATCCAGACCATGATACAGAAAGTAACACAAGATAATTTTAGGTGCACAGGGAGGAAAAAAGATACAGTTCTTACCTCTGCAAGCAGGGGGAAAAAATTATGAGCCAGGACCAAGCAAATCTCTACCGAGAGCGAGAGGCTGCTCAGCCTTCGCACAGTGAGTGGGCACGACGCTGCAAATGTGCTTCGCTGCACCAGAATTTAGCCCTCAATGTTACGCATTACTGGCACCAGCACAGCGCCGTTATCTTCCCCTTTCAATCTTCATGGTGTTTACTCCGCCAAAGATTACAGTTCGAGGCGAAGCGATCTATCTAATCACAGTTTAACCTTTTGCAAGTTTCTTTTTTAAGGTGACATCATCTTGGCAAGGATGAACGTAAAGAAAAGCTGTCTGTAGAAGGGACTTGCCTTATAAGGGCTGTATCAAAAATAAAAGCTTGTATAACCAAGGGAAAGCTGGAGGAAAAACAGGGCTGGGAGCTCCAAGAAGAGCCTGTGAGCTCCCCACAAATATCTCCCTTGGCCATACAAGGTGCCACGTTTTCCTTTTCAATACCATTAAAGAAGAGAAGGTATAAAGCATCCTTGGGTATGGACAGGTCAAGTCCCCCAAAACCTGGATGCCAAGTTTCCTCATTGCATCCAGGCGAGGATGAAGGCAGCCACGGAGGGCTGTACCCTCCCGCTGGTGTTTGGCACCTACCTAGAGCTACACAGAGAAGGGACACGGTGTTTTAACTCGATGGCAGTACATCGGGCTGGGAGATCGTTTGGAAGGATACAATGGAAAAATGGTACTAATGCAACTAATTAAAGATTTTCTCTGCTAGGTTGTGCCAGTTGGCATTTTCACAGGAAAAGACACAAATACATTTCAGAAGAACCCTCCCAACCATCTTTACTCAAAGAAATTACATCTGTATCTAATTCACAGGAAAATAATATACTTCTACGTGAAAACACTGTCCACTGTTCCACTGCCAAGCCAAGAGACACATCCCGTAAGGTGATCTGAATCTCTCATCCTCTGTCCTTCAGTTACATACAAAAATTCCCCTGGGCATCCAGATTTTCCCGATCCTGACATTCGTGCTTAACTTCATTTGGAGCCACTGTCTCCACAGTTTAGGGAAGCATCCCCTGAATTTTCCTGATTTGGGCAGAGCATGAGGGCAGCCGAGCTGTTCCCCATCTCTCTGTTCTGATTTCATGAAATTCCCTGAGCACAAACCCTTGCGTAAGCCATTTTTCATTGCACTGGATAAAGTTCTAGAGCAAGGGCAGCCTGTTTTCTTTCCTTACCCTCATTGAATTGTGTATTTTTCTCAAGTTTCTGGTTTAAAAGGAGAAGCTAATGTGATTGGATCGGATTTCAATGACAATATTCAACCGTGACTAAGTCAGCTGAGACTCTTCCCAAGCAAGGACTAAAAAATGTTTCTTCAGGAGCCTTCAGTTTTTATGAAAACAATCTCTTCTGTTGATATATATAATCTTTTAAGAATCCACATTTGATTGTAGTTGAAAGCATGACACCCATCACCCCAGGTGGAGGGAGAAAACTGTGGTTTGGGTTTTGCAAAATCTAAGCCGAAGGCGGTTTGGATCTTATTACATCTAATCTAAACAGCTGAGATGATCAAGGGTGGAGATGTGTGGGTGAAGAGATAAACACTCCTGCTATAAAGCCTTTGCCTTAGTACAGTGACAAACATGCTTATGATGGATGTCCATAAAATGAGATGAGACACCAAGCCAGTGATCTGAAGGTTTGTGCCCGGTGAGCCGCGCTGCTTGGGGTGGGGATGGAGCGGCAGAAGGGTAAGAGCGGCCAACCCACCCGAGTCCTTCGATGGTCCGGTCTGGAGAGGGGAAGCTGTGACTGGGGTCCAGGATGCTGGTCACTGGGCTTTCATCACGAGCTCTTCCAGTGCCTTCTCCCTCTGATTCCCACAAAGCAGAAGAACTTCTTTGATTTCATTTTGCTGGAAACCCATATCGTTAAACTGAGCTAACAAATGCAAGAATTCAGCTGCCTGGAGGAAGAAGGAAGAGAAAGGAGTCATGTTATCATGGGGTTTTAAGGACGGATTTATTGTAGAGTTGCAGCAGAAACAGCATTGGGTGACAAGGCTGCAGCCCGATGACCTGGCAGGGTTGTATTACTGCTGAAGGGCACTCCTGGTGCCACTGCCGACAGCAGAGCGAGGGCACACATACCACTGCTAGCATTTAAAAGTGCGCCTTTACATCAACTTTTTAAATAAGACATATTTCATAAAATCAGCCTCTAGCTTCACTTATTCCTTGTAAAGTTTAATATGAATTCCATGCAAGTGTTTGCCTGCATTATAAAGAGACTGGGGAAAGGCAGCGAGCGCAAGCTGGAATTAATTTGTCCTGCTTCCCCCCTTGCTCAGGCTGGGCCCCAGCACCACAACATCTCCCGGAGCCGCGTCCTCAATAAATAACCCCCCGCCTGACACCGAGACCCGGGCGCCCTCCCACTGCCACAGCCCTAATGAGCGGTGAGCCGGCAATCCTACGTGCCGTTGGCATCACGTCAAACACCACCAGCCCAAATTTCAAGCAGCTTTTCTCCCACCCCAGCTCTTCACCACTCCCAGGAGGAGACTGGTGATGGAGACCAACACCTGGTGTGCCACCAGAATTCTTCTCCTTGGGGGGTGAATGCAAAGGGGGAGCCGGGAGGGAGGTAGCGAGCACAGGTGCTGGCGGGCTTCGGGGTGGGGGATTCCCCGTGCAGGGGCTGAGCAAGCATCGTGCTTGCATGGCGGGGTGAGAGGATGGATGGAGAAGAGCAACGGAGCGGGTGTCCTTCCCGGGGGGTCCTTATGGTGACACTGCCCCAGGGGTCTGCCGCGAGTGTGGGCTCACTGCTTGCAGGGCAATGGGTCTGACCTGCCGGGAGGCTGCGCGAGGGGCGGCGGAGGGGGAGGGGAGCATGCAGCCTGCTGGAAAAGCCAGCTTGGAGGAGGCAGCACAAAGGGCTGGGCTGTCCCGCCCCGCTCTGACCTTTTTCTCCGAGTACTGGAACATTTCCATGGCCTCTTCCACCTGCCCTTCCTCATAGCCCTGCTTCAGCAGCCGGTCACAGGCAGCCAGGTAGCTCAGGAACTGCAGAAGAAGACAACCAGGGTTAATCCAACCTCGCAGACGTGGGGTGTAAGCGCATTCAGGAGCCCGCTTTGCCACCTTCCAGGGACATGCTCGTGGGGAGGACCTGGGGCACAACTGTCCTTCTGGCTCCCATCTGATGCTCAGCCAGGGCAGCCTGTCCATCAGCAGGACTCCACTGTGAGAAGACAATGTCTTGGTCCCCCCCACCCTCCCAGGGTGGGAACGGGAACAAGGCGGAAGGAGGACGAGGAGCAAACCAAACATTTGGATCATCTGAGATACAAAGTGATGACCTCCAGGCTGGGGGGTGAAGCAGAGCCTATCCCGGTGAGATGTCTACCCTCGGCTGACCCGGCATCCCTTTGATGCGCCGGAGTTCGGGCGCCCGTGGGTTCACTCCAGGGTCCAAGCACAAAACCCACCCCAGGGGAGACCCGTGTGCTGTCATTACTGAAAGTAAACAGTTATTTTTGGCTTTTCTCGTTGTTCTTGGAGTGCTGACAGCACTATTCCCACCGGTATCTTTTAAATACCACGAGAATCATTCACTGTCCAAAAACATATGGGACAGACAATAATAAATGAGCTATACAATAGCAGGGGGAATAAGAACATCCCACGGGTCTCCCCGAAGCCATGCTGTCTTCATCCAAGGAGAAGCTGATTCATATCTCCCCAGATCCACCAGCGCACAGACCTCCACCCTCCCCAGCACTACCATAGCCAAGGAGAAGGATTCAGTAAAAGACCATAAAACGTATGGAAAAGCCAAAAAAGTCCCTCAAACGTTGAGTTGATCTAGTTTGGCTCAAGAGCAGAGTAAGAATTTTAAGAAATATCAGCCTTAAGGAGCAGCTTATTAATTCAAAGGTTAGATAGTCATTGGTCATTGGCATTCATAACCTGTTTTTATTTTCCTCGCTACCTTACTAACTAAACACCCCACATCATTGCTGTATTTTCTTGCCCTGTCACAGCAGGGACAACTGCTCGTCGTGCTCACGGCCAGTCCTGGCAGCCTGGCGTGCTGTTCAAGCCCAGCATGATATTGGTGCTGTTGTCAACTCAATGATTTTTATCACTAAAAAAGTGTGTGTGTGTGTGTGTATATCCTGAAGACTAAACAAAAACAGGTTTTTAAATACTATGACCTGCTAACGCCCTGGGTCCGGTACCAGCCCCACCGCTCACTGGGAAGGAGGAGGAGGTGCCACTGCCCTCCTGAAGCTCCTTTTCCCCTTGTAGCTCTCAAGGAGGCTCCTTATCACACTTAGATGTGAAGTTCCTCCAGTGCAGGCACCCCTGGAGAGCTTGGCTTTATCCGCTACATGGCCAACCCAATAACCTCATCACAAACTGCTTGTGTGGGAAGAGACCTCCAGGCTCTGGTAGATCAGTAACGTGCTGATTATCTCTTCCCTCATTTGCTGCTACTTGATGTTATGGGCAGCAATGTAGCTTTTCACATCAAAGACAAGCACATGCAGTAACATAAAGGAAATCCCTCCTCTGGTGGGTTTTAACTTCCATGTTCCTGTACCACTTTGGCTGATGCCCATCGGTAAGGCCCGTCCCCACGAGGTCCCCACTTCAGGTGCTCCAAAAACTGCCTGCTTAAGAAGAGCAAAGCCTTACCACCAACCATTTCACCGACCCACCTGGACCATGGACTATAAGCTGCTGGCATGGAAAAAAACATGAGCAAACACCACCAAAGACCCAAAAGCTGATTTCCTTGTGGAGGAACAGGGTAAACACCTCCCCAGTCTTGCAGCAGGGTTCAAGCCAGGGACACGCAAACCCGGTGGGCACTACCCCTTGGGCGCTAAGCCTCCAGGGACAGAGGCTCTCCCCAGGGGACAGGGAGACCCCAGCCAGCACTGCGGCAGACAGCCCTGCTCAGCTCACTGCTGCCAATGCCACCACTGAGAACACAGCTTCTACAAGCACTGGAGAGGCTCGAGGAGCCACTGCCAGTGGGGACAGCTGATGCAAGGCTTGTAGGAAGCACTGAAGATCTAGATTGTCACTTGGGGTAAGACAGCAAGTTCTTTTGGAGGAGGAAAGGGTCAGGAGCACATTATGGAAGCACAGCTGAGCATATATTTTGCTGTGTTATTGACTTCACAAGAGTCCAACAGTCCATAGGAAGAGGTTCCCCATCCGTGCACGGCCAGGAGGTGGCTGGTGCAGTGGGCTGTGTCCCGTGGTGAACGCCCTGCTCTGAACCCTGTGCTTATGGCTAACTGGGGAGATGGATGCTGACCAGCTGCAGCCATCTGTCATGTCTCAGCTCACATGTACATTGAGAGCTCCATGGATCAACGATGCATTTTTGATTGATCAATGATCACTGATCAAAATGCAATGATGCATTTTTGGTTTAGCCCTTGGCCATGACATCCTAGATGATGAACCTCTGGTGCGTTGGGGCAACTAACCCTGCTTGAGCCTTTTAAAGAGGTTCTTCCACCAAAATTGAGAAGGCATCGCCTCCTTAAGGCAGCAGACTTGCCTTCTCCATCAGGGTGGGCTCTGCCAGTTTGACTTGACACTGCAAAGAAATTGAGCAATTTTTGGCTACCATCTGGTATTACAATCAATCTTCACGGTTGAAGCTGTCATCGTCACACACTGAAACCCCGCGTGACACCAGCAAGCAATGAAGAGCGCCCACAGCTCTTGTTTTTAACTTGAGTTGAAACATATTTTCCAGGAAGTTTTAGCCTTATTTGGTAGTTTTGTACTTGTAAGAGATGCACCAAGGGCTAGGCTTTACATTTTATCTTGGCTGTATTGGGCATAAATGGGAAAGATGGGAACCGCTGGTGAAGAAGGCACAGGATATGCACAGGATATAAGGCAGACCTTGTATTTTGGTGCATTAATCTCTTCTCCAAGGGAATGGGAGTCCCGGTGCTTATGCAGAAGGGAGCAGACTGTACCCATTTCCATCCTTAATAAGATGCACTGCTTCTTCGTACTGAAGCCAGCAGTTGCTACAAGACACCCTTGCACGGCCCTGTGCAAAGAACGTGGGCCCATCTCCCTTTGCCTAGATGAAACATTTATGAATTGAAGAAATAAAGCTTCCCTTCCCACCTTGGCTTGCAGCGACGCTCACCTGAAACACTAGCGAGGGTCTGGGGAGGCTGGTCCAGCCAGGGATGACTCAGGAGGGAGCCAGATGCTGCAGGATGACTCAGCCACAGACCGGCTTTGTGCGCCGACCAGACAGGTAAGAGCTGGCCCACGCAGCACAGGCAGCTCCCCGGGACCATGGGAAGGACACTGGCACCCGGCAGCGGCTGCTCGGTGCCATGTCTGCTCACACCTCTGCCCAGGGTCTGCTCCTGCTCCCTGGCGTGACAGCCTGGTGGACATCCCTCTTGCTAAGCTGCGATCAAGCCCCTTCTCTCTCTGCAAGAGCTACTTGGATAATTTAGCCCTATTAAATCCTCCACTGGGATGGGCAGGTCCAGCCCCAAGCTTGGCAAGCCAGAGGGTCAGAGCCAGCAGCATCCCTCATGGCATGGATGCTCCGAGCCCGCCTGGACCACGGGGGGGGTTCATCTGGACAAGCAGAGACCTTGGGAATTGGTATGCAGCACAACAGGCTGTGATGTACTCAGATACCAGGGGTAGGAAGAGGTCGTATGTTAATTATTTTAAATAAATTCCAGGTTATTATAGAGGGTTCCTCAGGAAAAGAGCTCTGGGACACAGCCGCAATGGTTGCATGGAGTTCCTGGTTGCTCCAACATGGGGAGCTTGTGTTTTGGAGAGAGCCCAGACAAATCTCCGAGGTATTCGTACAGTCCCACTCTGACAGGATGAGCCATGGCAATAATCATAGGAATCTAACAGCCGGGAAAAAATGATGTGCAAAAAGTTTCCATATACGGGGGCAAAATTTGTACTTCAAAAGGACACCATGCTCCATACAACAGATTGAAGAGATAACGTTACCCGGCCGTTATTACTCGCTGAAAGGCTGAGGGCGACTCACTGCTATTTTATTACAGCAAAAGTGCAGACGTGATCTCACGGAAAACCCTGTCAACTGAGGTCTGATACCAAAGTGGGAAACCCAAGGCCATCCATCACAAGTCCACCCCAAGCAAGACAGCCATCCCTTCCTCCATGAAAATCAAGTTTTTCTTTACCAAAAGCTTTCCGCGGTGCCGTGCCAGCTCCACCAACCTGACTTAAGCTTTGCCTTCCAGTCTTCTGCAGGGTGAGGATGGCTTTGTGGGTGGGATAGCCCAAGGCTATAACGGGTTCGATGAGGTCTCGCTCCTCTTGGCTCAGCGCCGAAAGCAGGTCAGCCGCTGAATCCGGCTGGGATCTGTGGGAACCAAGAGGTTGCGCAGGCGTGGAGGCAGGCGTGGAGGCAGGCGTGGAGGCAGGCGTGGAGGCAGGGGGAAGGCAGGCGTAGGGGCTGAGGGACTGCAAGAAAAAACAGCAGATGGTCTTCTTGCTCCACCTCAGGAAACAATGTTAAACGACCCAGGCTGAAGCAATGCTTTTTAATGCTGGCAGTTACCTTGCTCTCTCCAGAAGAGGAAAATTCCCATACATGGAACAAACCCCCTTGGGCTTCAAAGGAGACTGGACTTAATTAAATCCAGGCTCAGCTATAGATAGAGATCAGAGAAAACAGCGCTCAGGAGGGTTCACAGGGCAAAGCGAGCAAAAGCAGCTTCCTTTCCCTGGGAATCACAGTCGTGTCTCCAGCAATTAATGCCGTCCTCAACCGGCCAAGTGAGAGGCAGCGCTGCCCGTGGGCAGGTGATGCAGCAGCCCGGGCAGGAGGATGCTCCCCTGATGCCTCATTTATGCCCCTATGTATTTAGGTTTCTCTTACAAAGCCATCTTTGGAAATGACCTTGCACATAGAAATGCTCACCTGAGTATGAGGCTTTAGTATTTGGCATGATCCATTTGTAACAGCAGCCGAGCAGGGTGGGCGACGGATTAGTAATTAGTTGCAACAGCTGTTTAGTGTATAAATACACATGGGCATTTAATCTTTCCTTAATTACCCTATGCCTAATGCAACTACATACAAATAACCTGGCCTTTCATGTGTCCGATGGTTTTAATTGCGGGTTTTCAGTAATTCCTCTCCTAAATCTCTCAAGTAGCTGGATGAGATGTGATTTCTTAAAAAACAGGGTGCAATTCAGATTTAAGGTGATGAAAAGCAATATTTACTCCATCACTTCACATCACTGTCTCTATCATTAAACGATTTGTATTTCTAGTAGGACTGTGAAATCTAAAGTTTCCTAGACTTTTAAGAAAAGACAGACAGCCTTTGCCACAGAGAAGGTTGCCAATATTGCAAAAGGAGTCAGGTGAAGTGGCCTTTTCCAGCTATAAAACAGGGTGAAGGAGGGCAGTGAGCACGGGGACAAGTAATGAGGGAGACCCAGGGCAGAGGGGACGCAGAAACAGCCCGGTTTTGTCTCTGCTCAAGCCCCAGCTTCTCTTCTGGGGCTGCCAGGAGGAGCAGCTGTGATGGCTGTAAGGGGCATTTCCCCATAAACCCTGTTTATATCTGTTAGAGGGGGAAAATGGAGAGGAAAGAGGGAAAAAAACTTATTTCACATGTTTTTTTAAGTGTTTCAATTGAAAATCAAATAAGATGCCTTGCTTGTTAGGAAAAACAGAGATGTTTCGGTCAGGGCAGAGCAAGTAATGTCCTCCCAGAAAGCTTGCCTTTAAACCCCAGAAAAAAACCCACCTTCCTTCACTTCTTACGAAAACTCATCGGCAATTTCTCACGGGTTTAGTGTTCCCAAAGCCCCATTTTGGCTCCATTTTGCTGGCCAGACCCCAGCAAACAGGATCGATTCAACGTCTTCCACCCCCCTCCTGTCTCAGCGACAAGCAAAGGACTACCAGAGAAAAACATCTCACCGGCACCGTGGGCTTATGCCGTTTGATCGGGGGGATTGGCACGGCCGTGGCTGGAGGAGCCGGCACCAAGGTCCCCAGCTGGGACACGCCCGGGGCTGGCCCGTACTTGATGCTGCGGCCGGTGCAGGGGCGCTGGGGGAGCGGCTGTGGCACCGGGACCCCTCTGCTCTCTGCGAAGGCTCTGTTCAAAGGATGCACCAAAGCAGCCAGCTTCCTCCTGGCCGCTTCCAGCTCGTTCTTCATGTTGTTAAATATCAACATGGATCTTCCCTGTTTGCTTGGGTCTGGGCTGGCTGGGTTGTGGCTGCTGTTCTCTGGCGAGGGCTCCAGCAAGCCAGGCGATGTCTTTGGTCGGGTCTGGTAAAAGCCAGGATGCAGAGCCACACTTCTCACAGTGTTTCTCCTCCTGGAAACCTTTTCATCCTTGTCGCTCTCTTCCCAGGAGGTCGAGGAGTACTCGTCGTCCTCCGAGTACTCGTCCTCGTCCGAGTGCCAGGTCTCGCTCTCGGTGTCGGACAAGGCACCTCTGCCCTTGGCGTGCCCGTAGCTGTCATCGGCAGCGCTCAGGCTGACGCAGCGCCGTACCGCCCCTTCCCGCGGTCTCCCCCCGTAGCTGTCGGTGGGGTCCACCAGCAGCAGCCAGCACGGCGGCGCCGTGGGGATGACTTCGGAGGTGACCCGATGCCGGGAGGTTTGCTGCTGAGAGGCCACCTCGACCCAGTAAAGCACTTTTCTTTCCAGCGAGAAGTCGTGCT